TGAACACATTCATGGAAAGAAGTGTTCAGTATGTAAAGATGTCAGTTCTCTCCAAACTTGTCTATAGATTTGATCAGTTCCTATTAAAATCTGAACAGGATTTTTTTGTGGTAAGTGACAGACTGATTCTAAAATTTAAGTGGAAGTGCAGAGGGTCAAGGATAGTGAAGATTCCTAAAGAACAATGGAAAATTTGGGGCCCTGGTGCTACCTGAAAAGCTAAGAGGAAGCTATAGCAATTAAGTCATTGTGATACTGGTACGGGAATAGAAATAGAATATCTGTCTTGTAGGAAAAGGATGGACTATTTATTAAGTGATCCTGAGGCAATTGGTTATCCATATAGGCTAACATTGCATTCTTTCCTCATACCTATCAAAAAAATCAGTTCTAAGTAGATTTGAACTTAAAAATATGAAAGGTTAAAACTTTAGAAGACAATGTGGGAGAATATCTTTGTAACCTCAGGGAGGGAAATATTTCTTAAGATACAAAAAGCACAAAATATAAAGGAAAAGGTTAATAAATTAGGACTACCATTATATTTAAAGATGACTGTTCATCAAAAACACTAGAGTGAAAAATAAGCCTTAAAGTAGGAGTTGTTTGCAAGACATACCTTCCATAGGGTTAAAATACAAAAAATATAAAGTACTCTTACAAATCAATGAAGGCAACCCAGTGAAACACTACGCCAAAGACAGGAAGAGGAATTTCACAGACGAAGAAACGCAAATGACCCATAAATACAAGAAAAGATGCTCAGTCTTTTTAGTAATCAGGGAATTGCAAATTAAAACCACAGTACCATTCGTCAGCCACCAGATTGGCAAATGTTAAAATGTCTGACAATAGCAGGGGTTGGCCAGAATGTGGCAAGTCAGCAAGTCTCTCACACAGCTGATGGGAGTGGAGATTAGTGTAACCACTTTGTTACAACAAGTTGACAGAGCCTAGTAAAATTGAATGTAACTTATGACCCAGTAATTCCACTCTTAAGAAATTCTTACACATGACCCCCAGGAGACGTGGACAAAGAAGTTTACAGCAGCATTGTGAATGAGAGGGAAGCATGGAAACAACCCAAGTATTCATTGGCCCTGGAATGGTTACATAAATTATGTGATTAAGCAATGAAGTGCAATTAAGCAGTGAAAAAATGAATGAATTACAGTTACATCACCATGGATGAATTGTAACATAATTTTGAGTGAAAGCAGCAAATTGCAGAAAAAAAAATTTGTAAATCTGTGTAGGTTTTAAACATGCGTGTCATGAGCCACGCAACGACGTTTCGGTCAACGACGGACCGCATATCTGACAGTGATCCCGTGAGATTAGTACCGTACAGTCTAGGTGTGTAGTAGGTTACACCATCTAGGTTTATGTGAGTACACTCTGTGATGTTCACACAATGATGAAATCACCTAACGACGCATCTCAGAACATATCCCTGTTGTTAAGCAATACGTGACTGCATTAAATAAATCATGTATTATTTATATATAATTGCTAAAATAATAAAATCGAGGAAATAGTTAATAGAAAGTCCAGGATACTGATTACCAGGAGAGGAGCAGATGTGGTGGGAGTGGGCTACGTTACATAAGGGCCCACAGCAAGGCTTCAGAGTGATTATAATGTTCTGTTTCTCAGGCAGAAGAGTGAGTAGATGGTATTTATCTTATAACTTTTTAAACTGTACATACACATTTTATACGCTCTGATATATTTTTTAAAAATTATAACTGGTATTATTTTTAAGAGTTGGTAGGAAATGTTTTGCAATTAGGTAAAGTGGATTAGGGTATTGAAAACCCACAAATCTTGAAAATCATCGCCTAAGTTTTTGGAGATTTAATTCTCTAGGTTAAGGCCTCTCCATACATCAGTTTTAAAGTTCAAGTGAGGGGAAAGGTACAGAGCCCTGGAGAAGCATCTGTCATTGTAGCTTAAATGAAGCGTGGGAGACGCCAGTCCCTAGAACTGGACTGCTTGCCTTCCTCCCTCACTCCCTTCTTCACTGCCATGAATATTTAGTGACTGACCACCACATCATGGGCGTTGTCCTAGGGGCAGAGTAGCCAGAAGAGGTAATGTCCCTGTCTTGGCACGATGTCCCTGTCTTGGCACGTATAGCAGTTTTCAAAGTCTTGCCTACAGGTTTTGTTAATCTTAGCCTCCTAAACTACCTCCACCGCGAAGTTCACTTCAGGTCCATATTATAATTCACTCTTCGAGATCTTTTTAAGGAAATCATTTGTTTGCATGTTTAGACAACCTAACTGAATGAGTATCTTTAAAATTTTCGAGGTAATATCTTTCTGGTTTGGTCCTAGACCTTAGTTAATATTCTCCTTCCTATATATATATTTATTTCCAGTTTTTTTCCCTTCCTTTCATATCAGGTCTCTCTTGATGTGCTCTAATTGTTTGGAATTGACTTTGATATATTGATTTTACCTTTCTATTTTTTTTTGTTTGTTTTTTGGTGAGGAAGATTGGCCCTGAGCTAACATCTGTCGCCAGTCTTTCTCTTTTTGCTTGAGAAAGATTGTCCCTGAGCTAACATCTGTGCCAGTCTTCCTCTACTTTGTATATGGGATGCCGCCACAGCATGGCTTTATGAGCAGTGTATAGGTCTGTGCCCGGGGTCCAGACCCGCAAACCCCGAGCCGCGGAAGCAGAGCACGCGCACTTAACCACTACACCACCGGGCTAGCCCCTCTATCTATATTTTTGAGACTAGAAATTGGATCTGGTCTTAAACCTTGACTTAACAGCAGTATTTTCAAAAGCACAACAAGCATACTGGTAGAGAATATTAGGTGGTGTAAAGGGAAACATTTTTTATTTTAACTGTCATGTAGTTATTTAATGTTTATTATAAAGTATATACATGAAACCTGTGATTTTATGGCTGTTATTGCATAGGATGCAGCTAAAGGTGTCTATATGATAATCCATCTCACATAGACTGCATGAATTAATGGCCCAGGTGGTTCTCAGATATAGCAAAAATCATGAAATTAATACATGGATTACAGGTATAGTGTTGTTGTAAAGGTGAATTAAGATATTCTCTGATTGTCTCCTACTTGTATCATGATTCTCAAAAAATAAAGGTTATGTAGTTTGGTCAGGAAAAAGCCATCTAGGAAATTCATCTAGGCAAATAATTTGTTCAGATAACATTCTGTTGTAGGACAGGTTCTGGAAATACACAGATGAATAAAATGTAGATCTTACCCCTCCGGAGCACCAGTCTAACAGAGATAGGCACATAAATTAAAAAGTGCAATATCGACGCAAAGTGCAAGAGTGGAAATGTGTACATGATAAATGAGTAGCTTGGAGAGATGAGCACCGACTTATGGAGCAGTGAGGAAAGTCTTCACAGAGGGAGGGAGGCATGCAAGCAGTCTTGAGAGGCAAGCAGAAAATTTACAGAGAAATAGACTGGGAAAGAGGGGCATCAGAAAGGCACGTGCCAAGGTACAGAGACCTAAGAGAACGTGGTATGTTGGGTTAACTGAGCAGCTCATCATTTATGCTGGTGTGAGGTGAGATGTGAGGAAGGAGGCGGGAGCTTGTATGGAATATGACAGCGTTTATTTAGATCTTATTCTATAAATGATTATCAACATTTGAAAGATTTTAAGCAGAAGACTGACATGATGTCTGGGGACAGTGTAAAAGATGGATTAGAGGGGGAAGAATCAGCCACATTACAGGTAGTCATTGGGCAGCAGGACAGTGGAGAGCAGTTAGAGGGAAGCTCAGAATTTCTGCTTTGTTTAGCTTCATATAATTTTCAGGAAATTAGATTACATTTAGACTATTCCCAGAATTTAATGTGTTGAGGGGATAGTGGTAGGTGATTTGGAACCAATATATGAAGTCTCTGAAGAAATTGGTATTATTTAGTCTTTATTATAAACGAAGTATTAATTAACTTTGCCTATATAGTCATAAAGGCAAACAGATTTTTGCTTATTTTGTGTAAAAATATGTGCAAGCAGCATATAAAAGTTAAGCGATGTGGTATTGATGAGGCACACAGCTGCAAACAAGTTCTATTTTCCAATTAAAGTGGTGCAGATGGTAATACACCGCAGAGGCAGTAGATTGAAATATTTGAACTTTTTTGCAGTTAATATCCTGCCAGGAAAATCCCAGACAACAGTGTTACTTAAAGGGAATTGGGTGGACAATAAAATCAGTATATGAAGAGCCTCCTTTAAATAGAGGTTTTAGACTTGAGTGTCCTACGTAACTTAATTGTGGCAGGTTGTTTACTTTGGTGCATATTACTGTTAAATCCTAGACTATTAGTCTTTGGATTTGGTGTATATTATTCTCCCTTACAGAGAAATGTGTTAGTATGCCAACTTATTTTTGTACCTTCAGCATTATCATAATTTAGAGTCACGAGTCTGATGCTGACTGCCTGTGTATGTGTGTGCACTCATTTGTATGTGTACATAGCCAAACCCTTAACACCAAATGTTCTGACTCACATTTATTTTGGGAATATTCTCTTAATAGCCACTTTTTGGGATGTGGCTTAGTTAGCTGATTTGCTAACATTCAAAAGCCATGAGTTCTCAGCATCATCTTAGCCTTTTAGTATTTTAGCCCAGCAAAAATTTCTAGCTCTAATTGGGGAATTAGCTATAACATCTTACCAGAAACGATCCAGAAGCATCAAAAGAGGGAGTTCATGCAAAGGGCACATAGAGATGTTCAAAAGGAAAGTTAACGTTAACTTGATAGTGTGACTGCGTAGTAGAAATGGGAGAGTCAGTACAGAAATGAAGGACCACAAATGACCTTGGAACAACTGTAGGTTCCTTTCTGCAAAGCTCAGTAATGTTCATTATAATGAAACTTAGTTTGTATTTGAAAAGATGTTTTCTACAGCTCTTGTCACCAAGTTCTTTTGAAGTTCTTTTTCGTTCTTTTGAAGATTTAATTCCTTATTTTCTACTTTGACACAGAAATCCCCTGCAAAGAAGCTGAGCCATGCCATTAGTAAATCTTTGGGGTGTGTACCCACCAGAGAACCCCCGCATCCTGTTTTTCCTGATCAACCAGAGAAACCACTTGACCTTGCAAATATAGTGTAAGTATATACCTGGATACGGATATGGATTGTGCTGAAATGGAGACCTTGCTAAATTCTTTTGGATCAAAACCAAATATCAACTAACGTGAACATTTAACCTTCTGGTTTTCACTTTACTTTTGGGGAACTTAGACTTCAAGCTTTCATCTCTTTAAATCACCATAAATGTCTGTGTGGAAAGCTGGCTCCTGAGCCCTGAAGTCTAAGTAATAGAGCGATCTCCAGCAGAAACATTAATACGCTGAAGAGTAGTAATTTTTGTGCTGGGTTTAGCAAGGTTGCCTTTTGTTGTTTGTGTTCTCCCTTAAATCAGTGGTAGAGATCATTTCTTCTCTACAGCAGTAATCCCCATAGAGATTTTAAAAATGAGTTTAGACAACATGGAAATGAAAATCAACCTAATTTGCTCTTTTTGTATTGAGAGAAAATTAGGAAACATAAGGCTATATTCTCTAAACAAATCTAGTGTTATATATATATATTTTTTTTTTAGTTGAATATTCATGCTAGAAAGTAGAGGGAACAAAAAAGTTGGAGAAATAGAGAAAGAGGAAAAGTAAGGAGGAAGAGACATCTAGAAGGACGAGATTCAGCCTCTTTTCTGGTTTCTTCACCCTGAATTAAATGATGATGTTAAGTGTACTCTGCTGGATAAAGTTGGTAGGTTTTCTGATCATTAGTCTTTATCAAGTGTTTAGAAGTTTTTCTGTTGGAGTAGACATCCATTTTCTTTTACCTACCTGATAGTAGGTAGTTTGACTAAACAAGCTGTTAGGGTTCTTGATCTTTTCTTTTTTTCATTCAGTAATTTTAAAAACTTTCCTATTTATTAAAATAATACACACATATGGATTAAAAATTCAGTAATACAGAAGAGCTTGTAATAAAATGCAGCACATCCTCCCACACTTCATTGTGCTTTGTCTGGGTTTTAGATCTACTAGTGGTTACCTCCATATGGCCAAATAATGTATTGAGAGCACTTTTCTTGACTTATCAGTTTTGGACATTATTGAATTCTTTCTGTAGTGTAAGGAACCAACCTCATTTATAACTCTCTATATCAACCCATTCCAGTTTTTCATAATTATATCACCATTTTTTTAAGTTGGTTAACTTGGTAATTTTAAATAATATTCTTAAACCTCAGTTTCTTGTAACATCTTCTGACTTGCACTGTGTCAGCTGAGGAAATTAGTACCTTCTACTTCTCTCTTCTCCTTTTGCCTCCTAACTTCTGTCATCTGTGCCATTACTTTTATATTGTCAAAGCTGATAGTATTTCTGTTCTTATCTATGACCATAACTAAGTCTTCTGAGATTTATTAAGGGTTAAACCTAAAAGTTAAAAACTAAATGACAGCATTTACAGTTAATAGCATTCGTTACCAAGTCAAACAGTGTGCTGCCATTCTGTAAATCCTTTTGTGTAGTCCAGTGTCGTGACGCCTGTGCGGTTGTTCTCTCATCAGAGTTCAGTGGGGGCTTCTTTGTTACACACCACTGATTGCTCAAAATCATGCCTGCCAACTTTATAACTGGATTGACTTTCTGACTGTTATTGTTTTTCCTTCAGTTTCCCATTGTTTTCTTCTTCCCGCTGGGAAAAAAATATGCTTTTTTCCCCACTACATTTCGTAGTGAATTTTACCTGTTGCTTGTAATCCATTTTTCAGTTAAATTTGTTAACCTTTTCTCTTTTTGATTAGTGTTTTTTTTTTTTTTTTTTTTCTGAGGAAGACGGCCCTGGGCTAACATCTGTGCCCATCTTCCTCCACTTTATATGGGACGCCGCCACAGCATGGCTTGCCAAGCAGTGCGTCGGTGCGCGCCCGGGATCCGAACCAGCGAACCCCGGGCCGCCGCAGCGGAGCGCGCGCACTTAACCGCTTGCGCCACCGGGCCGGCCCCTGATTAGTGTTTTTTATGTTGCATTTTTTCATTAAAAAAAATCCTTGCCTGCTCCAACATTGTAGTGGTTTTTCGCTCTCTCTCTTTTTTTTTTTTTTTTTTTTTCAGTTTTGAAGATGTCCCCTTCACATATGTCTTTAATTCATCTGGAATGGATTTTTCTGTATGGTATAATATAGAATATTCAGTTCTCTTTCCCTCTCTCTTTGCATTTGAATAATAACTTGTCTCAGGGCATTTATTGGATAACCCATCATTTCCTCACTGACCTACAATGCCACCATTGTCATAAATGAAATTTCTAAATATGCATGGTCTGATTTCTGGGCTCTTTATTCTGTTCCTTTGGTCAAATTGTCCATCCCTTTGCCAATGTCACACTATCTTAATTAGTGTAAGGGATTAAGTAATCTTTTTTAGGAATGTCTTGTCTATTCTTTGCTCTTTCATGTAAATTTAGAATCAGCTTATTGAGTCCCTCATAAAATTTTGTTGGAATTTTGATCGGAGATTCATTATATCTAAAGATTAAATTGGGGAGAATTGACATCTTTACAATATTAAGTCTTCCAGTCCATGAATGTGTTATGTCTTTCCATTTATTTAAATATTCTTTTGTGCCTTTCAGTAAAGCTTTATAAATTTTTCCCAGAAAGGCCTTATATATGTTAGATTAATTCTTATGTACTTTAGGTTTGTTCTTGCTGTTGCAAATGGTGCCTTTTTTCCTACAGTTTTTTTGAGATATAATTTATATGCAATAAAATGCACCCACGTTAAGTGTACAATTCGATGAGTTTTGGCAAATGTATACAGTCGTGCAAATGGTATCTTTTTTTAACTGTGTCTTAACATTTTGTTGCTGGTGTATGGGAATGCAAATTGTTTTTGTATTTTAATCCACTGTCTAATCATCTTGCTTAACTTGCTCATTAATTCTAGTAATTTGTACTCAGATTCTTTTGGATTTTCTATAAATAATTATGTCACCTACAAATAATGATAGCTTTGTTTCTTCCCTCCTACTCCTTATACTTTTAACAATTAATCATACTTTTTTTTTTCTTTTGATCTTTTTATGCTGGCTAGAACCTCCAGTGCAATATTGAATAAAAGTGGTTTAGTAGGCATTCTTGTGTTATTACTAATCCTGAAGAGAATGCTTTCAGCATTCATTTAGTGTGTTATTTGATGTAGGTTTTGTAGAAACTGTTTATCAGGTAAAAGAGGTTCCCTTTTATTCCTAGTTTGCTAAGAGTGCTTTCTTTTTGTCATGAATGGATGTCAAATTTTATCAGACTTTTTCTGCATTAATTGAGATGATTGTATGAGATTCTTTATTCTATTAATGTAGTGAATTACATTAATTGCTTTTTTAAACAACCCTACATTCCTGGAATAAACGTAAGTCGACCTTCCTTTTAATACACTGTTAGATTTCGTTTGCTAATATTTTGTTTAGATTTTGCGTATGTTTATGAGTTAAATTGTCCTGTAATTTCCCTTGTGGTTTTTTTTATTTTTAGGACAAAATTTGCCTATTTTGCTGTCTTCAAAAAGTTGAGGAGCATTCTTTCTCTTTGTATATTTTGGAAGAACTTGTTTAAGATTGGTATTTGCTCCTTAAATTTTTGGTAAAACTCACCAATGAAGCTATCTGTGCCTAAAGCCTTCTTTGTGGGAAGATTTTTAACTGTTAATTCCACTTTTAAAAATTCCATTTTTATTTCTTTTTGAATCACTTTGAAACATTTTATATTTATAGGAATTTGTCAGTTTCATCAAAATTTTCGAAGTTACTGGCACAAAATTCGTAATATTTTATCTACAGTGTGTGTTAATGTCCCATTTTTATTCCTACTTTCATGTATTTATGGGTTTTCTCTTTTTTTTTTTCCTTGAAAATCTTGCTGTAGGTTTGTCTAATCTAGTGGACTTTCAGAAGACCAACTTTTGGTTTTGATGATTCTCTTATTGTGTGTATTATATTTTTTAATTTCATTGTTTCCACCCTTATCTGTATTATTTCTTTTGTTATAGTTTCTTTGGGTTTATTTTGCTACTCTTTTTCTAACTTCTTTAAAGATATGTTTAGCTTATTCATTTCAGCTTCTTACCCCCTAATATAAGCATTTAAGGCTATTAAGTTCTCTAAGCACTACCTGAGTCGTATCCAAGTTTTATTATGTAATTTTTTAATTGTTTTCTATTGTTTATTTTCTAACTTCTGTTATGATTTCTTCTTTGAGAAGTATACTTTCTTAATTTCCAAACCTGGGGGTTTTCTAGTTGCCTTTTTGTTATTAATTTCTAGTTTAATTTCGTTTTGGTCTGAAAAATGGTCTGCATTATTCAATTCTTTGAAATTTGTTGAGACACACTTATTATCTAGCATATGATCAAGTTTTTATTATGTTCCAAGTAAGCTTCAAAACAACATTTATTGTATGCTGTTTGGGTGCAGAGTTTATAGTGAATGACTGTATGTCCATTAGGTCAAGTTTGTTAATCACGTTGCTCAAATCTTCTATAGCTTTATTGGTTCAAAATTATACATTTCACTAGGAAATTGAAAATTCTTGTGTAGTGACCCTGTGTATTCCTAATAATTCTATTTGTCCTCGAGTCTATTTTATCTGCTGGTAACATCTTTTAGTATCTTTTGCTAGGTATGTGCCTAGTTTAACTTTTTCCATCCTTTTACTTTCAACCCTTCTGTGTCCTTAGGTTTTCAATCTGTTTCTTGTAAACTGTAAGCTGGATTTTAAAAATCTGACCTGACAACCTGTCTTAACTGGAGAGTTTGGTCCATTTAAACGCATTATTATAATATTATCATTATTATAATTAGTCATTTATTATAATTTAAATTGATTTATGTTATGATGGTTTTAAAATTATTATTACTGTGATATTTGGACTTTTTTCTACCATGTTATTTTGTGCTGTTTATCACATTTTTAAAATTCCCCTCTATTTGCATATCCCACTCTAGTCACCCTCTCCACCCATAGGTAACCATTCTATGTGCTCATTGTGTATCTTTTTATTAGTATATATGTTCTTGAAAACTAGGTATTGTTTTG